AAGATCAATTACTCGCTATTGGACCAATGTGTAGATATGCGCAAGATTTGTCGTTAACTCTTAAAATCATCGCAGATAAGAATGCTGATTTATTGAAGTTAAATCAGAAAGTAGATATTTCGCGAATCAAGGTAAATTGGTCTAATATTAAAATAAAAATATTTTTCAATCAAATTTTTTTATATTTTAATTTTAGTTGTGTCATATTTTTATGGAAAGAGATCAGACTTAATACATATAATGACCAAGAATGTGACTTCTATATGATTTTAGCTTTATTATATGGAGGATGACGGTGGCCAGTATCTAATTTCACCAGTGGATCCAGAAATAAAGGACGCTATGAGAAGAGTATTGAATTATTTCGAAAAAGCGCACAAAATTAAAGCTACGAAATTAAGTATAAAAAAATTAAAGAAAAGCACGGCTCTCTGGTTAGCGAACATGACGTGTAAGGACGACAAAGACTTTTCGTACGAGCTAACCAATAGGAAAGGTCATCTTAACATCTGGTTGGAATTCATTAAGTGGATGCTTTTCATGAGTAATCATACTTTCGTTGCTCTTTTCACTGCCACATTCGAAAAATTTGGCTTAAAACATGGAAGTGAAAAGCATGTTCGGCTTATACAACAAAGTAAAGATCTTTATCAAGAATTTAAGGTAATTGCACTGTCTCATAATTTCACGATTTTTTCAAGGTATACTTGAAATGTATTACTATTGTTTTGTAATGCTTTGTACATTTTTCATATTTTTTTAGGATATTTTAGGAGAGGATGGTGTATTTTTATATCCAACGCATCCAACTGCAGCTCCAATGCACCATGAACCGTTGTGTAAACCGTTCAACTTTTCTTACACTGCAATTATTAATGTGTTAGGCCTACCAGCCACGGCATGTCCGTTAGGTTTAAATAAGCAAGGACTTCCCATTGGAATACAGGTACGTTGTGACAAAATAAAAGGGATATCCTCCTTTATTTTAAATAATATGATTAATTTATTATCTACATATATCAATGATTAATTTAATTATCTATACATATAGGTTGTAGCAGGGCTTTTTCAAGATCGATTAACTCTTGCTATTGCGGAAGAATTGGAACGAGGTTTCGGAGGATGGGTACCTCCGGCAATAGTAGCTTGACGTCAATACTGTCATAGACAATAATTCTATGAACGAATGACATATGCATAAAGCCTCATCTTACCGAACCCTGCCATCTTTCTCTTGCAAAGTATTGTACTATTTATATGAAAAATTATGTAAGCAAATACTATGGGAGGTAAAGTACAAACTTATACATGAAATACACACACACACACACACACACACACACATACACACATACACACACACACTATATATATATATATAAAATTATACATGAATATATATATATAATATACATACATATACATATATAGTATATTATATATATATGATATATATATATTGCGTGCGTGTGTGTATGTGTGTATGTGTGGTGTGTGTCATGTATCATATATTATATATATCATATATATATAATATACTTTATTATATATATCATATATATATAATATATGTATATATGTGTATGTGTACATATATATATATATATATATATATATATATGTACATATATTCAATATGCATTTAATATAAAATTTCTTACAACTTGATATT